TTCAAGTTGTCTGATAAATTTGTATAGTCCACACTGTTTATCAATGTGAAGCATTAGTCGTTTTATCTTTTCTACACCGCACAAATTTTATAAAATATATGTTATTCTGTGTTAACATTTATAGATATGTCTTCTTAAGTTATCAATGATTGAATGGAAGTCCTGGTGAGATGAACGTTAAAAAGTCTCATGTTCAATGTACATCTGTCGTACTGAATATATTTGTTGTATTCACAGGCCAGTCTTTTTATAAAAGATTGAAAACGGATTCATAAGTTGAATCTAGTTTTTCCCATATCATGTTCTAAAAAAAATAGGCGAATTTGGAAAGATTTGCTTAAAACTCTATGAATTGATGGAATAAATCCTGAAACATTCATTTCACGGTATGATGTTTATGATATTCATTCACATCATACGGGGGAGTGAAAATTACAAAATGAATTAGAGATTGACAAATGAAATCAATACTAAAATTTTGGGGGAGTTTATATTAAATGAATGAATCTGTCTGAGATATTTTTGGCAAAGGGGGAATGAAGCTTAACAATTCAAAAGGAGAAAATAAAAATGTATGGAAATTGTTTTGGCAAAGGATATGATCCTGAATCGATGAAGATTGTTAAATTTAAACATTTTTTTAACATGTTGTGATTAAGGGGGAGTTAATGTAAAGAGGGAAATAAATGAAGACAATTACAAAAAAGAAGATTACAAGTTGTTAATGCAAAATGATCTTAAAATGAGAGATTGTTGAAAAGAAGTTGTTTGTATATAATTCTACAGGGGTAGATTGCTTAAAAGAAGATAGAAGATGAAAGACCCAGATTACATAAATGATAAAAGGTTTGTAATACCTCATTTCTATTAATGATAAACAAACCACCAAAAATTACATTTTTAAACCTTTAGAAAACAAACGGGATATAATATTTACGAGTTTCTAATTCGAAATGTTCGCTTGGTTTACAGGACGTTTCCGTAAGCACCTGTTTTCCAAAATATCCTAAAACGGACAAAATAAACTTAATAGATTTGCATAAAGCTTAAACTATATAAAAGACGGAGGATATTAGCTACCC